AATAATAATAATAATAGTAATAACAATAATAATAACAATAATAATAATAATAATAACAATAATAATAATAATAATAATATTAATAATAATATTCCTATGATTTTGAGATTCTTAGGAATTTGAATAACACCATGTTGGGTGGTATTCAAATTACCTTAAAATGAGAGAAAGTGAATCTCATGGTAATCACTTTCTTAGAAATTTAAAAATTATAATTTTTGTACTAAATATGATAATATTGTAGATTTTCATTCTCATCCTTAAAATTACTGCATATCAAACGCCTCCTCAGAATCTTATGTAATTACTCTAAAGAGTACCACGTCAAATAATCCCCTAATATTCTCTATTTATTATTACTATATTTTTTGGACCAAATTCATAGACACATGCATTAGAGACAGGGAGCATATCCTTTTGGGTGGGAGCATATTTTCCTTCTTTTTTTTTTTTTTTTTTTTTTTTCTTTCCCTGGGTGACTATCCTCGTTGAACTCGTGTGGCGTACTTTATTATTGGTAACTTCTGTGTCGCTTGGTGTGTGTACATATATTGACGGTGAAAATTCGTTTAATTCAGAATTTGTCTTATCATGAATCACTCCACATCAATTCACACAAATTAGTAAAAAAATTAAATGTTTAAGAAGTACAGAAGAAATAACGTTTACAGTGGTTCGATAGAATATTATTGTTTACGTCTATTTATATGCACTAAATCTCAAGAATACAACGAATTTTTTCTCAAAATAGAAAATTATATATAGACACTAAATGAAGAATTTAACATTTATTTATAGATTTTTATGTATATGATATCTCTATCTTTAGATCACATAATGAGATAAGCTTTCTTATAACATTTATTTATAGGTTTTTATGTACATGATATCTTTATTTTTAGATCACATCATGAGATAAGCTTTTTTATCCTTTTTTTAGATAAGGATTTACTTAGTTTTATCTCCATATTTAATTATTTGAATTTAAATACATGGTTGTAGTTGATAATCTATATTTGTTCTTCTATTTGAATTTGAATATAAGATAAGAGCTATCTTCTCTTGATTTGGTAGGCTTTAAGTTGATCTCGACCTTATTTCGGACTTGTCGACTTCTCTACGTAGACATCTTTATGACATTTTTGGAACTTCTCGACCACAATCACACAGTTGCCTACGTGGAGAAGATAGTTGTGTGATTGTGGTCGAGAAGTCTAAAAAAGGTCATAACGATGTATGCGTGGAGAAGTCGACAAGTCCAAAATAAGGCCGAGATCAACCTAAAGCCCGCCAAATCAAGAGAGGATAACTCTTGTCTTATATTCGAATTCAAATAGAAGAGCAAGTATAGATTATCAACTACAACCATGTATTAAATTCAAATAATTAAATGTAGAGATAAAACTAAGTAAATCCTTATTTAAAAAGGGGATAAAGAAACTTATCTCGTGATGTGACCTAGAGATAGAGATATCATATACATGAGAACCTATAAATAAAAGTTAAACTCCTCATTTAGTGTCTATGCATAATTTTCCGCTCTGAGAGAGATTCCTTCCATTTCTTTAGATTTAGGGCATACACAAGTGGACGTAGACAATAATATTATGTCGAACTACTATAAATTTTGTGTCTTCTTTACTTCTTATGCATTTATTTTTTGCTTAATTTGTGTGTGTTGACGCATGAGTAATCCATGATGAGACAAAATTCTGAGTCAACAATATACTTACAAATAGTAGCATTTTTTCGACAAATAGAAAATAGTAAATTAAACTTCGATTGTGGACAGAGATTAATTTGTGAATAAGGTAATTACATTTTTAACACTAGTACTCTGAATTTTTTAACACCCCACCGCTGAGTTCTTCCTAATGTTATACTTTGATCCTTAAAAAGTTATTCTTTGACAATTTAATTCTTAAATTATTCAATGTTTTTATTTAACTTCATTATCTATCACCGTTGATTAATATTTTTTAGGAATTTAGACACCATTAAATTAAAAGACAAATATATAAAATTCCAAAAAACACGAGCTAAGATTTTATTTATGATATTTTACATATTTGTTCTCTGAATTTGTATGGTTTTAGCAACTTATTTTTTGCACTTTTATTTATAATAGGTTGTCCTTTTAACTTGTAAAATTGTTACAATATACTCCATTTTGACAATAATTGTGTTAAATTAGTGTTGAAAAAACACGTTCAATTAAAAACTTCAACCTTTCTAGTCAAACATAATACAAGTCTTTCAATTCCTCAAATTTTAATCCATTAAATATAATATATATATAAATATATATATATATATATATATACATATACATATATATTTGAGCAAATTTAGTAAAATAACACACATTACAATAATTTTACCAGTTTAAAAAATTAGATGGTCAAAATTAAAAATTTAAAAAGCAATTTGATAAATCACGAAGAGCAATTGTGTTAAAAAACCTTTTATTTATCAATGAATTCCCCACTTGACCCATCCGGGCTTGGTTACGGTAGTTAGGATTGATGCGTTTTTCTTCCTTTTCTGGTGGTCCATAAATACCAAATTGGTCAATTCCTACTCATAAACACGTCCTGAAAGGAGGGAACTCTGGTGTAAAGTCCACGGCAAGTCACATTTTATTCATCATAAAAAAAAAAAAAGGAAGAGAGAGAAAAACAAATGATGATATGACAAGAAAAATAGCCATCACACTCATTAAAGAAAATTAAAATGGTAGAAACAATGTGAAATCTTGTTATATTTTGTTTCCGATACTATGAATTTAATTCCAAAAAGGTTAGGTTTTACTAATCAAAATGAGTAGTTACGACTACTTCCGTACACTTTTTGAATCTATACAGTTGACAAATTTCTCCTATATCATTCATTGCAAGTTTCCTTTGAAATTCTATATCATCCCTCATCTATTCTTGACTATATTTTCAAAATCTAGATACCAAAATCAGGGTTCTATCCAGCAAAGAATGGTAAAGCATCAACGGGTACTTCAAGTTTCCCCGATGGCGCAAGCGATGCAAGTGGGATTCGTAGCTTCGCTTTGAGGCGTGATGCGTTCCAGGCAGGAGTCATGAAAGGTGTGGCCACAAGGGAGAACAGCAGTGGGTGGTGCCCTACTTGGTATGGAAACAGGGCCTTCTTCTGTGAATGAGAGATCCCTTTTGCATATGAAACAATTGTGCCCAAGTAGTCGAGGTTTCATCTCTGGATCTGTAAGAAGAAGCTCTCTTATTAGCTTTTACCAATGTTGCTAACAGTTTAATTGATTTTGAATGCAATAATCACCGTTAACATTTCTAGTCAAGTAACCCCAATAAATCAGAGTTCATATTTGTCAGGAAAATTTCTCTCTCAAAGCATAACAAGACCTGGCTAAAGGTGGTATAGCCATGGCATCAAATAAGCCCAAATGTATTTAGCAAGGAAAGTAGATGCATGAATGACATTGGACAGATATTTCATTCACGAGTCACCTCTAATCAGATGCTTTGAAAAATGAAAATCATATTAAGGATAATGTTTTTTTTTTCCTTTGAGCAAATATTAAGGATAATGTTCCCTTCAATAAAGTAGAAAAAAGTGAACTGAAGCAAAAGAGAATGTGACATGGCTATACAGGGGTCAGGTTAGCGTTTTCTTTTTCTTTTTTTTAATCAGAATTTTGAGCACATTATCAAACTTTCTAAAAACACAACAAAACATTATATAATATGTAGACATTCAAAAACCTTATGAAATGTAGATACACGTGTTAAAACTTAAAAGAATGAAAAAGGCTAAATATAAAGAAACTCCAAAAATACCTTCCCACTTTATATGGAACACTTCATTAGTCCGGGGAAATTGATGACGTATAGCATTAGTCGGGGGATGCCGTAGACGTGGAGTACCCCGGAGACGAGGTGGTCTTCCTCGAGCCCTCCGGGATCGGGGTTGGGGATGTGGAAGATTCCGGGGCTGAAGAGGTGAAGTGCTCCGGGGTTGGAAAGGGAAAGTTGGAGCAATCCCAGGCTGGAGAGGGAAAGTAGGAACATACTGAGGTTGGAATGGGGGAATTATAGCGCGAGACCCGGGATGAATCGGGACAGTTTGGACATGTCTGGGTGGGAGTGGGAAAGGTTGTGCTGGCAAAAGCTGCGGGGGGAATGCTGGAGCAATCACCATATGTGGTGGAAATGGAATGAACCGAAACTGGTGTGGCAACAAAGAGGCACCTGGCTGGGGCAGGATTGACGAGGCTACCTGAGGTATGAGGTGATGCATTTGAGCAGTCTGGTGTTGGGGTTGAAGTGATGTCCTATTAGCTTGGTGCGAGAGAGAAAGTGAAGTACGCGCTAAGCCTGCGGAAGAAGCAACCTCGGGTAAATTTCGTATTGGTGAATCACTCTGTGCTCGAGTTGAGATAGATAAATTGGTTGAAGGCGTTCTTATTCTTCTTCGTTGACTCTGAGCAGCAGCTTGAGAAGAGTCTGTTGGACTCCTTTTCAGAGCGGGCCCATACAAAATCTGACCGGCTTGAGGAATTCTATTGACACTTGTGATTGGAATTTGCTGACCTGAAATGAGGAAAGTCATCGTAATAAGTTTATGAATCTGAAGTTTGGTCAAATTATTGAGTTATAACAACTAGTTGTCACAGGTCCTAGAAGACTGAGAGGGACGTGTGACTTGAGGTTAACAAATCACCTGAACGCATGAGGCATCCAAATGCATTACAAAGCAATCCATTCAACTACATAGGATGACATGCCACTGGTCCAAATAGCAGCCAAAGCCAGTCTCTTCATTTCATGTTCATGTACTTTCTGATAAATTTATACATTACATTTTTGTCGAATAGAGTGGAATTTCTTACATTTCTTAATAGAAAATTGAATCCTTTTCCATGGAAGACATACCTCTTTTAGAAACTTGCGTAGCACCACCACCCTCGTTGGCTGCAAAAGGCTCCCCTGAGACGAGTTGTAAAATTTAGCACTGAAGCTTAAAATATATATATATATATATATATATATAAATTTACCTAAAGGCATTCAATAAAAAATTAACAATGAGAATTGGTGCCAAAAAAAAAAAAAAGAGTAAATGGAATTTGGCATATTTCATACTGAAACGAAAATAAAGATATATAATTCTGAAATGATATAAGCAGCGTAACTAAGTACACATAATAAACACTTAAAGATCTGGGATGAAATGGTATGTTTACTGCCAGTGCAAACTTTGATTACCAAAATGAGAAAAACTAATTTATCGAAAAATTTGTTTGGTACATGGTTAGCGTAATGTACGAACTCTTAAGTTGCATTGAACTCAATTTCTTAACCATAAACTGCTAGGCATTTATATGTATATATATTTTTGGAGTAAAATTGCATCCAAAACACAAAAACATAACACAATAATGCTGAATAGTTAATCTTTGGTGAGAAAAAGAGTATATGTTCTCATTAAGATAATCACAATGAAGTATAAAAGTTTTTGTCAAGAGATGACCGTATCTAGATATTAAAGAGAAAACAAGTACCAGTGTAAAGAAAAAAATCATCTTGAAAGAAAGTGAAAAATGAAACTATATTATACTTCAAATCATAACGGATAAAATACATAAAGCATGCAGGAAGGCATAACAACTGACCAAATTGATTCTGCAGGGAATTGCTTCTTGTCACTGTATTAAGAGGTAGGAACATGGAAGATTCAGAAGTCCTCCAACTCGAATCAGATGTTGCCCTGCTCCACGGAGAATCATGCACCACAACTTGATTCCTTCCCGGTATTGGTGACAGAATTGAGTTATCTTGAAAATCATTATTGGAAACACTACTTGCCAATTCCTCATCTTGGTTCCCTACAATTTGAAGGTCAATCCTGTTGCTCGACATAGGAAAGTGATGCCCCTCGTCATGTTGCAGTGTTTGTGCAACAAAACGTGAATTTGAAAGAAGCTCCGGAGTAACACCAAATCTAAACCTTTGATCATTGCTAGATGATGGTTGAGTGGAAGTCCTACTACTCAAACCAGGTGTTGATGGCAGCAAGCCAGTTGCCCTGCTCTGCCTGGAATTCGGTACCACTTGACTGCTTCCTGGAATTGGCGATATAGTTGAATAATCTTCACAATAATTATCAGAATCGATACCCGCAAATCCTGCATCATGGCTACCTACAATTCCAGGAGTAACACTGTCGCTTGGTATAAAAAAGTGATGCCTCTCATCATGTTGTGGCGTTTGTGCAATAGAATTTGAGTTAGAAAGAAGCTCTGCATTGCCATCAGACAGAACATGTTGAGTACTGTTAGGGAACGTCCAATTATCCACATGTTGTTGTCTCCAGGAAAAACAATCCCTGTTATTTCGAAAAACAGAAAAATCACCAGCCATATCAATACTTGGATTTGAAAAATTTACGGCACTTTGAGCATCGAAAGTGTTTGATCTAGGGAATGCTGCCATCTGATTATTATCGCTGGTGATATCTCTTCCTGAAATACTACATCGAGATAAAGCCTCTTCAGGATCCTCAATTCCGAGTCTCAAAAGAATCCCATCACGTTTCTGTGGAGAAAGGGATTGAACTGCACTGGGCATTAAGTTGTTGCTCATTTCAATTTCTTCACCATCTAAGGCAGAGTCTGAAAAAAGCGTTTGACCTCCATAATTGAAAAAACTCCCGACTGTTTGAGGAAAGCGATGATTACCAATAGTCACTTCTCGTTGTTCGATCCTCCGTGAGCTTGAAGCTGAATTATCATTCACAAATTGATTGCTAGTAGATGGATTCTGAAAAATGTTGGCATAATAGGCAGGATTTATCACATTATCAGTAGCCACTGGACTATTAGTAGCGTGAAAACTATGATCCGTAGTTATGTTCCCTTCCTGACGTGTAGAGTTTGAATATGGCCCGAGTTGGAGTTGGATGCCTTTCGCGCGAAAATACTCCTGCACAGACCTGGTATTCTGAGGTGTTTGGGAATGAGAGGTATTGCCCATTATTTCAAAACCGGTTGACGGATTTCCCTCAGAGTATGATTTAGGCGTTGCTTGCATGCTCCCAAAAGCAAAAGGGGACAAAGGCCTCGTTGTGCTTGGGTTCCGCATATTATTAGCTCCAGCGGCATTGAAACAGCCAGTAGAGTTAGCAGGTTCACTCCTTAAAATAGGAAATCCATGGTCATGGCGCTGCAGGGCAGAAGTAGAGCTGGGGGGCTCTTGCTTATCCTTCCTGCCATCATTTGCCATTTTATGGTCTGCTCTGAACAGAAATCACCGACAAAGAGCTCCAGTGAATATCACTATGCTAAACATTACGAGAATTAATGCAAAATGGAATAAAGCAGCGGATAGATAGAGAGTGAACTTCAAGTATTATTCACCATATGGAAGATAGGCAAATAAAACTTGTAAATAGTAAATATTCCTTAGTCTCCAACATTAAAGATCATTCTTGGTTAAAAAAAGAAAAGTTATGCCTATCATGGCCTATATATAGTTCAGAGTGTATTAACATTTTTATGGGATTATAACCCAGATAGACTTATTAACAAAAAAAAAAAAAAAAAAAACCAGATATACTGCAATTCAAATACTAGCAGCACATTTTTGGGATATCCAACCATAAAAGAAAACTAAAGAAGAAACCACTTTAATCACCACAAACCTAAAGCCCCAACCAAAAATCCGAAAACCCACAAAGAAAGAAATATAAAGACTCAAAAAATTTGTATCACCAATTCACACACGAAACCAAACCCCCCGCCCCCCCCAATTATTAAAGCAGAAATTGTCCTTAACTATTCAATAGGAAAATGATCAAACACCTAGCTACGTTGAATCAGACAAAAAACCCAATTCAAGAATTAAAAAACACAAAGAATTCCAAAGCCCGGGGAAATAATCAAGGAAATTTAAACCAATAACCGAAGAACATTGAATGATGATCCAAACAAGAAACAAAATGCATTTAAATCAAAGAACAAAATATGATCAAGAAGTAAGAAACCAAGAAACCCACAATCGAAGCATGAATTTGCGCAAGATATTGGAAATCGATCAAAGCAAATATAAGAACGTAATCAAAAGTAGGAAATTAAACTAAGAAGAAAAAGGAAAACGAAACTTGAAGGCTCTTACCAGTTTACGACCAGTGACAAATGCATAGAGGAGAGAGAGAGAGAGAGACAAATGCATAGAGGAGAGAGAGAGAGAGAGTTTTTGGCGCTTTTAGGGCCTGAGACATATTTTAAAGGGTTCGGTGTGGGGCCACATGGCTTGGTGCAGGTGCCAGGTGTCGTCACACTGTTGAATCTTCGGTGTAAGAGATCCACGCTGACGTGTAATTTTTCGTCCAAGAAATATGTTTACGCATTTTTTCTTTTATTTTTTTCCCTTTAAAATTCTTTTCCATAAAAAGAAAAAAAATCTGTTCATGAGCCTTTTTAGTTTGATTATATTTTGAGTATAAAAATAAGGATAATTTTTTTTTTCAATAACTGAGGTAGGATCAATTTGAAACTATGTTTGATTGTTTCCCAAAGAGATTATTTATATAGGACTCGTTTATTGATTCGAATTTTTAATTTAAAATAATATGTGATTTTATGTAAGAACTTTTTACTGTAATAAAAAAAAGTTAAATGTGATTTTTTATGAGAGTTTTTAATTATAAAAAAATTAAAATTAAAAATTTAAATCGGTAAAATAAACGAGACCATAGATTATTTTGAGCATAACAAAGTGAAACTATATTTTTTTATGTTTTTGAAAATATACGGCGAGTGCAAGTACTAAAAATAAAAACAAAAATAGAAAAATACCATAAGAAAATATAAAAATATTTACCTTATTTTTTTGTTGAATTGGAAAGAATGGTCTTTTAGTGCCCGTTTAGTTTACTGATTCGAGTTTTTAATTCAAATTAAAATGAGACTTTATGTAAGTTTTTTACTGTAGTAAAAAAATTAAATGTGATTGTTTATGATAATTTTTTAATATAATAAAACTCAAATTTTAAATTTAAATCGGTGAAATAAATATGACTTTAGCTTAATTAGTGGATTGTTGTGGATTCTAACTAGGCTCCACGTATACATATTTGGAAAAAGGCCGATTAGTTTTATTTTTCTCCTCTAAAAAAGCAACAATAACTGAAAAATGAAAAAGGATTTGAAAGACATTTTCAAATACACACAATCAACTCCAAAATACACAAAACTCAAAAGTAAATGCCCCAAAGTATATCATAAATCATAAAACTGAAAAAGCATAGATTGCAAATTGAAAATGAGCCTCCAGCTTCTTCCCTTTTTTTCGTGAAAAAGAAAGTGAAGAGTGAAGAAAGTTAGAAATAAGGAAACGGAGAGGAAGTTTTCAAAACAACACGATTCTATCAAAGAAAAATCACCCACCACATATATTCATAATATACATGCTCAGAAACAAAATATTAGATCAATTTTGGGGACTTTGAAAAATGGGTTTCAATACCCTTAAAGAAATCCGAATATGCACGGCCTCAAAACTCAAATTGGAGGCTCTGATACCAATTGTTAAAATTAAATATTAAACAAATTGAGAATTGAAGCATGTACAAGTGGTAGCATTGGTGGGCCGTTGGAAAGTTATTGGAAATCGCCGGAGCCGAGGGTTCAATAAACTCTCCTCCTTCTCTCCCTCACACTATTCCAAGCACACCACAAAATGGCCACACCCCAAAACATATAGCAACAACATTTCTTATTTTGGACTCACACTTTAATTGCCCTGTAGTACTTATTTTAATTGTATTGAGAGGTTATTTGATCTAATGGGGCTCATTAAAACATTTATGAGAGAAGGAGTCTATAAGTCTCAAGCTAGTCATCATACCGAGTGTCCATCCTATTATAGACTAATATTTAACATACATACATACCTAAATTTACATTAAAAAAATTGTCTAAAAGATACTTTAATAACAAATTAAAGTGAATTATTATGATTATAGAAGTCCACATAAAAATAATCCAACAAAGAATAATACCAAATAAATAAAAATTGAGTTAGACTTGTAATTTGAAATGTTTTTAATTTTGAAATTGATCCTGATGGCTAATTTCTATAAATTAATATCGATAATAAATTGATCGCATGCATCATCCACCTTTGATTTAAAGATGAAGATGTGATAAATTTGACAAACTACAAACAAAAGGAATATACAGGATGATATATAGAAGGAAAATAGAAAATGGGCCACCTTAGGCTGCAAGTGAATGAATAAAGATAGGCCAGATAAACCAATTAAGCTCTAGTATTGATCAAACTATTTAACTAACTTTTAAAACCATTCAAATTCTTAACACGTCAAGTAAGAAAATAAGAAATTCCCTCAAAAGCAAATTTAAGAAATTACGGGTGCGTTTAGAACTCGTTCCAAAATAATTTTATTTTTTATATGAAAATAGAAATGAAAACGTTTTCAATCTCAGACAAAAATTATTTTTAAAAATGCGTTTAATAGTCTTATCAAGAGATTATTTTCAGTATAAAAAAATTTATTAAATCCATTAATGTCTCTCTCTCCTCGAGAGAGGAGAAAACATAAACAAAAAATGAAAAAAGACTAAAAGTCATTTTTCATTTCTCTCTCATTTTACACTAAACAAAAAAATTGTTTTCATTGTGCCGAACGCCATTTCTCTCCCATTTTCATTGTTTCTTTATCAAAAAATGTGAAAAATAAAAATAAAAACAACTCCAAACACATCTTGCATTTAAAAAAAATTTAAGAAATTAAAAATGGTATATCGATATTCATCACATTAGCTATGGAACACTTTTGTAATCGCACAATATAATTAATAATGGAATGCTTAAGATGTAGGTACATGTATAGGCATTATGAATATTACTACTAGACTGTGTGCATACTATTTTTTAACTTTTTTAGGGTAGACAATTCAAGGAAGAAAAATATAACATGCAATATATGCTACTTGGCATCTCACTACCTGCTATGTAATTATAATATTTTATTATAATAATAATTGTACCACACTACATAAAAAATGGTGTTAATTAAGCAACATGTATAAGAGAAGTGAAAATAATATTTACTATAATTAAGATTAGGTGAAAATAATATTTATTATAAGACAGGCTGTGTTTTATAAACAAAGAGAGAAGAGGGAGGGAAAAATAAGAAGAAAAAGAAGAATGAGGCCAAAAAAGAAGCAAAATGCCTCATCCAACTTTACAAAGGCCTTCATTTACACATACCAATTAAAAAATAAACAACAAATAATACAAAGAAAGCAGAAGCTTTTCATTGTATGTAAATATTGATCCAACTGATTCAGACCAATATAACAATAAAAAGCGTTTTCTCCGGCATTTAACGAGGAAATTAAGAATGCATAAAACTTTTATCTGAGTATTTTTGGTGTTGATAAGACCTCGTTTATTTCACCAATTCAAGTTTAGAATTCGAGTTTTGCTATAGTAAAAAACTCTCTGAAACAGTCGCATCTAACTTTTTTGTTACACTAAAAAAATTTAACATAAAATCACATCTCAACTCAAATTAAAAATTTGAATCAGCGATCTAGAGTGGAAAGAAGTAGATACTAAACGCTTCACTTCAAAATCAAAAAGTTCAAAGAATTCCAGAGTGGAAAGAAGTAGATACTAGACGCTTCATTCTCTGTACTTTTTTGAGATGCCAGAAAACTATGATCATTGATCCTAAAATTGTAGAAGATTGTTTTCACAAATGCTTGCTGTCATGTACACTTCCAAATCCAACTCCACCCTAATACATTAATTTCTTTTTTGACATTAAATCCTGCCTTTGTAAGTGTTTTGAGAGTCTTATATATGGTGGCGTAAAAAAAAGAAAAAAGAAAAAGACCGTAAGATAATGTATAGTTCTCGACCATCAGATCTTTTGTATTATGTCAAAATCATACTAAAATTAAAAAGTATGTACATTTAACGTAATTTGATGAAGATTGACAATAGAAAATGCCTACTACCCAGTATGTTGTTCTTTCCTCTTGCTACCACAGATTTAAGTGATTTTTTGTTAATGATATTATTGTTGGATTAATATAGCTTTAAGGTCCTAAATTAAACACATCAACGTACAAATAGAGGCACAAGTCAGATGAGTACCATTAATTAACGACAAAGCGATAAATTGTACAGGAGTGTTTAAACAAAAAATAATGGTTTATTGAACTTATTAGAAAAAGTATATAGATATATATATATATATATATATGTGTGTGTGTGTGTGTGTGTGTGTGTGTGTTATTTTCATGTACAAATTGAAAAATCCTTATCATTCCCTTTTAATGTAATCTTAAAATGCAGAAGATTAATATTAAGTAATTTATTTGTGTCGTGATCTAGAAGTAGTGATGCCTGCGGCTCTTTCATTTTAGTGTCGTTTTGTAAGTTAAGAGTCTGTTTAATTTGTTAATTTGAGTTAAAATGTGACTTTATGTAAGAACTTTTTACTATAATAAAAAAGTTAGATATAACTGTTTTTGAGAATTTTTTACTGTAACAAATTTAAATTTTAAATTTAAATCGATAAAATAAACAGGGCATTAATAATCAGGTGGGAAGCCAAAAAAAACCATGTCCATTCACGTTGGAGCTCGTGTAGTTTTGGCATTACGTTTTCTTTTAAGTTTCTGTCGTTTTCCGCAGTGGACTTCTCTGTGGTTAATCGCATCGTTTCTTATTAGCCCTATCGTTTTGTCGTTTGTCGTTTGTGGTTTGATTCCTGATTAACTACTTTCTGATACACTAATTCATACAAAATATGTTGGATATCCTCTCTACAAAACAAACGCGGTCTTGTTGATCAGGAAAAAAAAAAAAAAAAAACGTCGTCTTGCACGTGACATGTATAATTACATATTTTGGGAGTTATAAATAAGAATGTATCCAGATTTGAAGTTTTGATTTTTTTTTTTTTTAATAATCCAAATCAGAATTACTCCTGAGATCAAAATACATACGCCTCCAGTTCGTGCAGACAGATGTAGTTTTTACGTCACAATGTGGATTTTCAATTGCTTATGGATTTGAATAACAATAACAATATAAAAATTACTTCATGTCATGTCTAACCGAAATGTGGGAACACACTTGTGCTTCATTTGTTTTGGGGTTTTTTTTTTTTTTTTTTTTTTTTTTTTTTTTTTTTTAAATACGGAGATTGTCTATTGTATTTTTCTAATAACAAAATCTCATATGTAGTTAACTCAAAATTCAGCACGTATCATGAACCGTGTGTTTGATTTATGGACAACACTTTATTAAGTATTGACAAAACCAAATTTTAAAAAATAAAATAAAATAAAATAAAAGGCGATCAATTATCAATGGGGGAAACCGCGATTTCTTTTATTGAATCGCAACAATATAATTTTACAGGACTAATTAATTAATTAATTAAATACGAAGAGCTCTTTCTAAAAATGACTTAATAAAAAAGATTTCTCAGTGAAATAATTTTCAAAAAAATTAATTTGCAAAATGACTTGAGAACCATCTTATTCTTATGCACACTTTTTACACTACACAACCAAGTAGTCGTTCAATGTAAAGAAGGTAGATTAAAAAAAAAATGTAAATAAGGTAATTTTATTAATTTCACTTTGTTGGATAGTCATCTTAATCAAATATGCATATTTTGTCTAATTAGAAAAGAAAAAAAAAAGATAATCTCATCATGTTTGAGGACACGTGGTAGACTAAGGCCTTGTTCACTTCGCGGATTCGAGTTTTCAATTCTAGTTGAGATGTGACATTTTCTGAGAGTTTTTCGCTGTAGCAGAAAAAGTTAGATGTGATATTTTCTAAGAGCTTTTTATTGTAGAAACTTAAAACTGAAAACTCAAATAGGTGAAATGAACGAAGCCTAATACATTTGGATTAAAAACATGGGAGAATTTCGGTATTATCACAAATAAAATCATGACGTATATACTCCATTGGAAAATTAATCTAATCAGTATAAGGATTAAAAGTCGCTTATAATCTGCCAAATTCGTGCAGACAGATATAACTCTAGATCTCAATGCTCACTTGCTTATTGATTCGAATAAAAGGACGTATTGTGGTAACACTTTTATCCACAGAAGAGTCAAAGTTTTACACCATATTTTCTTCTAATTTGTAAGTAGTTTACGATTTTAACTTGGCATAAACTAAAAGCCACATTAATTAAGATTGCAATTTGTGACGTCTTTCGGTGCAGGAGTCAATACTACCTTCTATTTTCTAATTCATTTCGTTATGATCACGTCCTTCTTTAATATATATATATATATATATATATATATATATATGTATTGTATACTGATACTCCTAACGTAAGAAGATCAACGAGAATGGAGAAGAGATTGATGAGAAGTTCTATGATATTTGTATTATTGGTTATAATAACCATATTGTTATTATCAATTATAGAGTTTTCTCAAGCAGAAGAAGGCTTTTTTTCATCATCATAAAAGCGTGATTCTACAACAACAATTGCATGTTGCAAGTGACGGTAGATGGTTCAAACTTGATCTCGAATGTTATGCAAAATGGGCCAAGCGTTGTGGGAAGGCAAGAAATGTGGAGAAGTTGGACGGCTGTCTGCGCAGGTGCCTAGAAAGATGCAGCCAAAGCCATCCTGCAAACGACATCAACTACATTCCATGAATGAGGTCGTTTCGTTTCGCCGTCTCTCCTCCGAGTAAAATAAATTTCAGATCAGTTTGAGCATACATGTTTGAATTTGTTGTTTTCGAAGATATTTAGGAGGAATACGAAAATGGGATAAAGTACAAGGAAAGAAGAAACCTTTGTAGCAGATATGGAAGAACAATTGTGTGTTTTCACTTTGTTTATTCATTTTTAGCTTGAATACAGCTTTATTATTCTATATTGCCAGCCAAACTACTTGGAATTACCGACAACATAAAGGAAAAGAACAAAAAAAAAAAAAAAAAATTATAGTATATACATATGATACATATTTATGCGTATGTATGTATGTTTGTGTATATGCTCTCCGGTATAAGAGTAGAAACTCAAATACCCTCCTTTTAGGAAGGTTTGGATTGTCTTGAGCGTTTATGAACTATCATAGAAAGCATTTTGTTTCAAGCCAAAACACAACTCCAATTAATACACTAAATTTCATAGATTTTATACTAATCCAACATTAATGCACGATCAGGCAAATTGCAACGTTACGGTTAGACTTTAGGGTTGAATAGGAAAAACAAAAAACAAAAATAAATGCTATATATTTTCAATATGAACAACAACCTTTATTTAAAAAAAAAAATCAAAGTTCTATATTTGACAAGTAACCACCGATGGAAACATTACCATTAAAAATTTATCCATAACTTTAAGACTTGACTGAAACAGGAGAGGGTTAAAGCACTAAAATCTTTTCTTCTGAAAACAAAGTAAACAGAAGGGCCAACTGGGGGTTGCTGCCAAAATCCTTAACAATAATAACAGAAAGAATAAGCAAAACTTGTCAACATGTATCATTGATTCTACAGGTAAATTTGTTTTCATAAGTTAAGTGAATCAGAGAGTAAGATGTTGCACTGGCATTCCAAATCCATCCTTTTCCGCTTCAAGCTACAGTTTGTGAATTTTACCATCGCTGCCTGAGATTGTGGGAAAAAATACAATCAGATACAACAGAATTTATTGGTTAATAAGACTTTTTGACAGTCAACAAACAACTCATACAGAACACACAGACACACATGAGTCGTTATCCATATCTAAGAATTTTGGTCGAAACAACCGCAGAACATTTGCGTTTGTACAAGTTTGAAGCCAATGAGGACATTCAGACGGCTGTCTACTACGCAACCAAGCATCACGTACAAAGTAGAGATCAGGTTACAGAACGGAACGCAATTCTCTACTCTAAGTTTTTTGGATTCCTAAATTCTAAGCAGCTACCTCAGGCGTCTCTGTAATGTAAAAGACATGAAAGTACTTATTATCCCTATCAAGCCAAGAAGAGGTTCAGAAACCGAAAATCATCAAAAACTCGAAATACCAAGAATCAGATTAGTAACATATCATTTACTCTTTGATGGGGGCAACGCAAGTCTAGTAACAGTTGTTGAAGGCTGAAAATAGAATTCTAACACATCTCACTAAACTCTAAAGGCAATAAATAAATACCCAAAACAAAAGGTACTGTGATGAAAAAGAAAAATTACAATGGTCTAACAAACGTGACAAAACCAAAAGTACAAGAAGTAACCAAATATAGAAAGAAATGCTATCAGTAAACAAACCACATTTAACAAGCGGAGAAGAAAAAGGAAAAGGGGGATTCTAATGTACCTCTTGGAGAACTCAACCATGTATCGCGATCCGTTATAAAGAACGAACCACATCAATACCACCACCAAAGTATCTTGCAAATGTCAAGGAACTAGCAGATGAATAAACTATAACAGCAAAACATGATAAAGCAGATAAAATCCTTCTTAGATCGGAAAAATAAAGGAAAAGCTTCAAAGAAATGAAACTACCTAGGACCTGTAGATAAACATGTCCTATGTGTACTAATTGGATGCATAATTTATCCAAGTTTTCCTAGCATAAGAGCAATAAACCAAATACTTGAAAAACAGAAAATCATTAACCAAGGAAAAATGATTGGAAAAAAAAAAGCATAAAGAGGATACTAAAGAGGCAACGTTCCCACCAATCTAACATATAGAGCCCAAATGTCACATTGTAAAGGTAGATTTTTCGTTGAACCCAGTTCATTGCTGACAATCTGCAGCAAAACCCCCAAAAAAAAAAAAAAACCAAAACCAAAATTAGAATTAAACTAAACTAAACTAGCAGAAAAAAGTTTCAATTGAACATTAACTTGAAAATTAGCAAATTTGCAAAACCAAAGCTCGTATGGAAGCAAATTAAAAACACAACAAAATTTCTCCAAATACCCATTACTGAGAAATTCCCCAAATACACAAAAAGAAGAACAAAATATCTGCAACAAGTTGCAACCCAGAAAGTATAAACAAGTACCGGATCTATAATCTATTGGAATAGGACAAAATTCACCATATCCATTGATCTAAACAATTCACTACCAAAGATTCAAAAGAAGAAATCCAAAGTCTTGGAAACGAAAAGGAGAGGAAGTTTAACAGAAATTAGAAAATTTGTTTTACCTGAGGGAGACGAGAAGAGACAAGTACGTTTCTTTAATTTCAGATCAGCAAAAGAAAAGGCCTTTTAACGAGATTTTTCATGTGTTCGGATTTCTCTATATTGGACGAGTTTGACGATGTAGGAACTTGTGTGATGTAGGAACATGTGTAAGTCCGTTTTACCCTTTTATGTTAGAAGATTTACCTAAAGCCTACAGGGGGCGTTTGGTATGCAGGAATCAGTGGAAATCATATTTCCGGGAAAGTGATAGAAGGTAATATAATTCCTAAGAATAATACGTTACTGTGTTTAGTTCCATACAGGAATCTTTCTCAAATTTCTAGGAATATTACATTACTGTATGTGTGGTTGTTCCATATCTGCTCATTGATGGAAAAAAAGAAATAAGCATACTGAACATAAAATTAACTCCATAGACGAATCTTCTAGTTCCATATTTCAATAGTGCAAGTGTTTAAGGGAAAAAAAAATCAAAGATTGAAAAAAGCATTTAACTTGAAGCATTACTGTATTACACGGGAACCAAACTAGACGAATCTTCTAGTTCTAGCTTTGAAGCATTTTACTTCTACAGAACCAAACATAAGGTTCATTCTTCAGATTACAGAACCAAACTAGACGACTTGGGTGGTGCTTTTTGGTTGATGCAGGTTGTGTCTCAGGCGGCGGATGCAAAGAAGGATGGAGCTTTCTTGAGAAAATACATGGGGGTTCAACTTATGTTTTAGTCGTGGAGGTAAAGAGAAATAGCAAGGGACAAAAAATCGATGGGGAGGAAAACAAAAAAGGATTGTGTTAATTTTCAAGTTCCGGTTCAAACCCAGATGCGCCGATGGGGAGAAATAGCAATTTATGCAATCGATGGGGAGAAATAGCAAGGGACAAAAAAGGATGAAAAAATCGTGGCCGTTCTGGTTCAAACCCAGATGCGCCGACGACTTTCTGGTTCAAACCCAGTGAGATTTTCAAGTTCAGATAAAAAATTAACACAAATCGGAAAGTTCAGATCAAAAATTTTTCACATAAAAAGGAAAAACAAAGGAATCATACTCTGGTGGTGGCGGCAGAGGAAAGTCCGGCAACGGCGTGGTTGATCGGAAGGCGGCGGCGGCGTCCTCGACGGAAGCGGTGCTGGGTCTGGACGAGAGAGAGAGATGGGTGAGAGAAATGATAGGGTAAATTGTTTCCCGTAAATATTACTTTCCTGAGAAAGTGAATAACATACTGTTAGGTGGGTTTAAGATTATTTCAAAATAGGATATAGTGAAATTCATGAGTTTTATTTTTTTAGGTTTTAAAAAAGTCTAATAATTACAAACTCTCGTTCAGTTCACTGATTTGAATTTTTAATTTGAGTTAAGATGTGATTTTATGTGAGTTTTTTACTGTAGTAAAAAAGTTAGATGTGACTGTTTGTGAGAGCTTTTCACTGTAACAAAACTCAAATTTTAAATTTAAATCAGTGAAATGAACAAGATCGTACTAAATATTCAGATTTCCATTGCTATTTTTGTAATTATCTCGTACCAAACGCCCTCATAAGGTTATATAAGGAGACGTTTGGTTTATAGATTAGAATCATAAGATTAGAATTATTTTTGATTTATGTGTATTTTTTATGAAAAAAATACTATAATAAATTATAAATTATAATTCAAATCGGGGTACGAATCCTCCTATCAAACAATCTCTAAGTCATTTCATGTTCGTATGGATGATATCCAACTGTCTTTTGGTGCAGAGCTTACCGTCGTCTGAAGCAGAAATTGGGCTACGAATATTGGGCTTTTGGAAAGGAACCCAAAACTTCTTCGGCCCGGTTTTCTCAGATCAGTAGATTTTTTTTAATTTTTAAGAAATATCTTTAATTATAAAGAATACAGAAAAATAGATTGCGCGCATAATCATTCAACACAGATTGCAATTTTGCCAAAAAAAAAAAAAAATGACGAGCGAAGCAAATTTAATATTTCTGAATTTAATCATCTTCAACACAGAGAATATCCGTTTTTTTTCCCCCAAAAACGATTCGCAGAATACTAATAATAACAACAATAATCCATACAAAATAATAACAGAAATAAAAAGAATATAAAATGAAGGAAAAGAAAAATAGAAATTGCAGTCTTTGCGGATATATGTATCTGTTATATTGGGACCGAAAAGAAAAAAACTTGAGAGAATGATTGTGCTCTGAAGCGAAAAGCTCTTACATTTATTTCTTCAATGAATTCAAGATTATGAATGATTGAGAGCTGTCAAGAAAATAATTAGGAAAAAAGGTCAATTTCATTGAGAGAAAGAAGACTTGCAAATTGCCCATTTGAAAAAGTCCCCAAAATCAGAAATCTTAAACCTGTACGACAGCTTTCCAATGGAGAAAAAGATTCGCTATCAGGAGACTGTATGTCGTTATACTTATGTTTAGTTTATTGATTCAGAATTATTCTCAATTTACGTATATTTTTTGTGAAAAAAAATACTGTAGCGAGTTACGAATCATGATCCGAACCATGACACGAATCCACCAACCAAACGACGTTCCTTGTTTGATAATAAGGGTTCGTTTAGTACGAAAATTCAAACTAGGGTGATTCTAATTATAATTTTAGAACTAGAACCAAAATTCATGATTTTGAGTTCAAATCATGATTCTGAAATCATGATTCAGAATCAGGGGTTTGAATCACCTTGAATCAAGAGGGGGTGGTTTTAGAATCATGATTTGAGCTAGTTTAAAACATCACATCAGATTCTGAATCATGATTTAGAGTCATCCAAACCAAACACTGATTCAGAATCACTATAAACAAATACTGATTATGAACTAAGATCCAAATCATGATTTTAGATCCATCTACTAAAAGAAAAATTATTATTTTTTAGGTTAGTTCCAATTTTACTCCTTGAGGATTACTCAGTTTCTCACCTTGTTACCCTAAACTTTCAAATATTATACTATTAGCACTTAAACTTTATAAAAATTGCACTATTGATCTCTGACAAAACCATTAAAAATTCACAGCATGTGCATGTGAGTCTCATATATATATATATATATATTTTTTTTTTTTAATTTGTTGGACAACAGCCATATGAGACTTCTACTAAAAAAAAACACATATGAAGACTTATCCCCCAGTAACTACATCCGTAAATCCACGATATGTGTTACTCTCCTTTCAATAAGTGCGCAACAATGGGGTCATCACTTGTCTCACATTTACAATTAGCGGGCAAGATACCAAAGTATTTCTCGGGACAGAAATTGAAATTAACCTTTTCCCGTATTTTACATCATCACATGATCTCCTGGGCCATATTAGATGACTTTTCACACGACTTCATTTGAAGTCGTAATATATTAATCGATATTTCCCAACAAAATCACTTTAAAATAATCGTGTCATGTAATAACAAAAATTATCGTCCTACCATTCTATGATAGTGAGTTTATTCCGTTAGATTTGATTATATATACGGCATTGTGAGTGTAGATTCTAGTGTTATGAGTCGTTTGGTCTCAATTGATTGATTTTATCCATCAATTGTAGTGGTTTTGTAAACGAGCTTTTGTCGCGTTCAATTATTAATGTACCGAGTATGTCTTTTTCCATTAGGTCTCAATTTGTGCTTCATTCTTCTTTTTTGGTGGATCTAATATACCCTTATATTTGATGATCATTTGTGATAATTTTAGAGTCCGTACTAATTTAATTATTAAATGAAAGCTCATCTTTGAAAAATTAAAAGCCTACCTTTATCCAGTTGACCGTGTAAATATGGTATTAGAAAATAGAAGTTTATTTGTTCTTTTTTCGTTTGAGAGAACAAGAACGGAAAGTACCGGCATGAAAGGTAATTAATTCCACCATTTCAACATTATTGTCCAACGGAAAACTACTTAACATCCAACCAAATAAACTACCATAGCATGTAACATAATTTAAAGCTAATTAAGCCTACTTTCGAACTGTAGTCCTAAAAAAGACTTAAAAATCTCGAAATTAAAATTAAGACTTAATTAATTACTTAAATTTTAGATAATGAATCCACCAGTACTACATGGTCTTCCGGGCATGCAAAGAGCAGGTGGAGTTCTCATTCTAACCGGTATGATTGGACGTGACCCCTTGGGAGGTGGCGGCGGATTTCGGGGTACAATCTGATGATGTTCCTTACACGACGAGCTCTCCGACGCCGTCGCCGGAGGTGGAGGAGGAGGAGACCTAATTATATAGTCATGAGCTCTTTGACATTTAATTTTATCATTATCATTACTATTATAAGTATGTGTAGTGGTGTCATGGTCACAAGGGCTACTATTTCCTCTTGTTGAGGGATGCTTAGACGGAGACGGAGATGGAGGTGGCGGCGGGCTTGGCGTTAGCCTTCCGTAGACACTGATTATCATGTCCAACTTGTCCCCTGCAGAATTAATAATCCCTGATGAAAAGGAAAAAAGAAAAAAAAAAGAAAAAGAAAAAAGAAAAAAATGGGATCATGAGATAACGTATATTAGATGCATGGAAATTAAGTTGGAAAGTTCTAGCTATGAAGTTATTCGCCAAGCACGTGAAAAAAAAATCATGCATATATATATATATATATAGACACATATATACATATATATATATATGTATAAGTTACCTTGTAAGGTTCTCGCATGACTATGAGGATTGGCAATAGTTAGAAGAGAAGCTAAAAGAAGCAGAAGTTTCATGGTGTGGAGTTGTGAAGCACTTAATAGGCCTTGACTGATGAAGAAAGAATATGTAGTTAATGAGCCATACATACATATTATGCAGTACTTGACAGTATTTATAGACACAAAAGGAAAAGAAAAGTATAACAAAATGGTCATGAGAGTTGCTGTTAGTTTATCAATCCATCCTAAAAATTTAAGTTATTAGGAAGTGGGCCAACAATAGTTTTATACTTTAACACTCCCCCTCACGTATGGGCTGGACAATGGGTAATCGTGTGGGTAAATTAATTGGAAAGCCCAACACATGAATATTTAAGCCCGAGATATATTAAAGACCCAACACATGATAATTTTAAATAGGATAAAGAGTGCAATTACGGATGTTTAAACTCAGGACCTCCTGCTCTGATACCATGTTAGTTTACTAATCTATCTAAAAAACTTAAACTATTAAAAAATGGACCAACAATAATTTTATACTTTAACAATTACTTTAGGTAAAGGTAGGTAAGCCATGAAACTAATTTAAGAATATAATATATAGTACGACTCATTCGAATAACGAAATGATATATAAGACAAACGTAGTCACACCTAAACATTTACTAGTACACTTATTATTGTTATTTTAAAGAAAAGGATAGCTAGTTAGCCTGATGTTTAAGAACTTGTTTGGTTGGAGAATGCGTTCTTTGATTCAAATTATAATTCATAATTTGTTACAATATTTTTTTTTATAAAAAATATATATAAATAAAAAATAATTCTAATCTCATAATTTTAATTTATAAATTAAATAGGCCGTAAATTAGTTTATATATATATATGATGGAGAATTCAATTTAAGACTCGGAATAAGTCGTTATTCTTTAAACGTGTCCTTGGGTCAATGGTACGTGTTTTGTAATAATGTCGTACTAGCTATGAGTAGACAATTGGTTTCTCAGCAGCTTGTTCACACTTCACACATAGCTTCTGTCGTATTAGCTATATTAAAAGTGATGATTAGTTGGAGATTTGACGTTTTATATATCTTCTTATGCGTTTTAGCTTTTAAGTGTATGACTGATATAATTTATTCTTTTAACCGGAGAAAAAAAGTACAAAAAATAAGAGAATCTCCAAAATAAAACATAAAAAAGACCCACTCTCAAATTATATATAAAACGAAACGTCAAGGATTAAAATATGTGGTTACAGTAGTTAGCTGATTCTGGTGTAAAAAAAATAAAAATAAAAACCACATACTGGTACTGTTAAAATTTCAGGCGGCGGGCTTGTCTGAAGCCTGAAATTTTTAGGCTCGGGCAGCCCGAAAAAAAATCATTCTAGGCAGCCCGCTGTCGGAATATTTTTTTGAATTTTTTCGCACTCTTATACTGCAGATAATTTTAAAAAATTAAATAAAAAAAAACTTGGTTACATAACCCTAATCCACCTCTCCAATGTCTTTACCACCAGCGCCCAAATGCACCCTCACTGGAAAAGGTTCGCTATTGGCGAAAAAGGTAGACATGTTGTTAATAAATAATTTATTTTTGGGTTAATTTCAAACATAGCTTCTAAAGAATAAGGCTATTTTGCATGGACACCCTCTTAACTTTATGAGTTTGGTAAATTAGTTTTTTAACTTTTTTTCTTGATAATTTGCTCCTTAAACTTTAAAATTTGTTGTAATACTAGTCAAATTGAAAACAAAGTAAAAAAGTGTATCTTCTACGTGAGTATTTAATGAGAGTAATTAATATTCTTCTAAAGAATAAGACTATTTTACATGGACACCCTCTTAACTTTATGAATTTAGTAAATTAGTTTTTTAACTTTTTTTCTTGACAATTCACTCCTTAAACTTTGAAATTTATTGTAATGCTGGTCAAATTGAAAACAAAGTTAAAAAGTGTATCTTCTACGTGAATGTTTAATGAGGGTAATTAATATTCTTTTACATCAAATTGATCCTCATATACGCATCACATTCTTTTACATTGAATTGATCCTTATATATGCATCACGAGTGAAAATTTATTTGAAATTCGGAGTTAACCGTTTTGGGGTACAAATGGGGGGATTTTCATTCATGACGTTCAATTCGATGCAAAAAAAAAAGAATTATATTTATTTAACATTCACGTGGAAGATACTGTCTAAATTTTTAACTTCGTTTTCAATTTGACTTATAATGCAACAAAATTCAAAGTTTAAGGGGTGGATTAACAAAAAAAAGTTTAGGGACTAATTTATCATAATCGTAAAATTGAGGGGGTGTCCATGTAAAAAAACCAAAAAAAAAATAATTGTTGACTTCTTGTTTCCTTTACCCACATAGGTCACATTCCTTATGTGAGTAAAAGAAAACAACATTAGTGTTAATTAAAGTGAGGAAGAGATTATGATTTTTTTTCCTAATTTTTTAAAATCTTTACGTCTATTCTGTTCAAATTTACTGTATTTAAAATTTAAAGTCCACATGTATTCAAAACCGTTAAAAAATAAAACGAATTTGACATTTTAAGGGAGGTATCAAAGTGCAACTTTCGGTAAGCTCGAAGGCCAATTTGTAAAATTTTGAATTTTAAAAGCAACGTGAGACAACTAATTAGAAGGTTAAACTTTGCCAAACTAGCCCTTGTTTTTCCTTTAAGTGATAATACATTAATCGATATTACCCAGCAAAACTCATCTTTGAACAATCAAAACCCCACCTTTATCCAGTTGACCGTGTGAATTTGGTAGCCGCAAAATATAATTTTTTTTCCTTCTTTTTTGTATGAGAGAACAAGAACGAAGTAATTCCACCACTTCAATATTATAGCACGTTTTTTACATTATTGTCCAAGACAAAACTACTTTACATCCAGCGAAATGAAAGATAAATTAAAGTTAAGAAAATCCACAGCATAAATTACTACCAAAGTAAGTAAACAAAAAAATTTAGTGCTAATTAAGCTACTTGCGAGCTGTCGTCCTAAACAAGAGAGATTAATTAACAACTGCAACTATACCTTTGAGGATTAGATTCATTAAAATCTCGAGAGTTACGACTTAATTACTTAATTAGATTTACATGATAAATCTGTCAGTACCACCACATGGTCTTCCGGGCATGCAAAGAGCAGGTGGAGTTCTGATCATTTTACCCGGTCTGATTGGGGGAGCCCTCTTGGGAGGCGGCGGCGGACTTCGGGGTTTGACCTGATAATGCTCCTTACACGTCGAACTTTCCAAGGCCATCGCCGGAGGTGGTGGAGGAGGTGACCCAATTATCCAGTCATTAGCTCTTCGGCATTTAATTTTATCATTATTGTAAGTATGTGTGGTTTCATGGTCACAAGAGCCACTGTTTCCTCTTGCTGAGTGCTGCTTAGACGGAGCTTTTGATGGAGATGGCGGCGGGCTTGGCGTTGTCCTTCCGTAGACACTAATTATCATGTCCAACTTGTCGCCTGTGGAATTAATAATCCCTGTTGAAAAGGGAAAAAATCATGATATCAGATATATATATATATATATATATATAATGGAAATAATTAAGTTGGAAAGTCTACCTAAAGTTATCCGCCAAGCACATGAAACAAAAAACACAAAAAAAAAAGAGGAAAAGAAAAAATTATACATATATATGCATGATGGCAGGGGCAGAGCTGTATGTTTTGGAGTTTGAGAAGAAATGAAAAGAAAATTTAGGGAAAAGAAATAGAATTTTCATAATTAAACTTTTATTTTAAAAGGTCAATCTATTAAGTGGAATGATTCTGTTTGTAGTTATATTTATGTTGAAACGATGTGAAATTTGAGTATTTTACCCATGTTGGGACTTACTTGAAAGACAATTAGCTAGGGCACCATTGAATATAGGAAAAGGGAAGGAAGAAAAATTAGCCACAGCGAAGATAGAGATGTGAATATAGAGAGAAAATCAAACTCTCACAAGTTTTTTGCCCTTATAAAAACACACGTGTTCGAACTCATAGATGCTGAAAGACTAGATAGAGCAAAGAAAATACTGAAATAGCATAACATGAAGTATGAATTACCTTGTAAGGTTCTCGCATGAGCATGAGGAGTTGCAATAATTAGAAGAGAAGCAAAGAGGATGAGGAGTTTCATGGTTGGAGTCGTGAAGTACTTGAGGCACTCACTGATGAAAGAATAGTTAGTGAGGCATATGTGTTGCTGTTCACGGTATTTATAGATGCAAAAAGAAAAGTATAACAAAGTGATTATGTAAGACTTGGTTTTTGGTAAACGTATGGTAAGTCACCAAATTGAAGGATAAAATAAGACAGTACTTAGTCTATATATATATATATATATACACAAATATACAAATATGTATAGATATATAATGAGACAAATGTAGCACTATCAAACACACTTTTAGAGTTGGTATGTTTATACTTTGGCCTCCTTCAGTTCACCAGTTTAGTTCGAATCACAATTCAAGTTTTTATTACAGTATTTTCTCTCACAAAAATTCAAAATTAATTTTTTCTATTATAGTATTTTTTTTTTCTATAAATTCATCACTTTTTAACTCAAATTATGATCAACTCGAACAAGCAAAACAAACGAGGCCTTTAAAAAAAAAAAAACATAGCTAGCTAGTCAAATACTTTCCTTGGGTCCACCTTGAAGAATACAATTTGTGACTAATTAGACTAAGTCGCCACTTTTACCGTGTAATTCGGGTCAATGTGCATGTTCTATATACAATGTCGTATTAGCTAGAGTAGATCCCTTTAATTAAAGAGTTTGATGGTCAGCTTGTTCACACAGCTTATTGTATACGTGTTTAGTTTTTGACTCCCAAATCACATGCACATGCAATTGCAATATATTAGTGAGTTAGAGATCTGATGTACTGGCCCGTTCACTTTGCTGATTTGAGTTTGTAATTCGAGTTGAGATGTAATTTTGTGTGAGAGCTTTTTACTGTAGTAAAAAAGTTAGATGTGACTGTTTCTGAGAGTTTTTTACTATAGCAAAACTCAAATTCTAAACTCGAATCGGCGAAATGAACGGGATCGTCTTTTTGTGCGTTTTACGTCTATGCCTGATAGTTTATTCTTGATCTAATGAGAGATACAAGTATATATATAAGAAGATTAAAGAAAGAGGGTATCTTCTTAATAAGACCCAGACTCAGAATATATAATTGGAAACGTTAAAGCTTATTAAGGCTTAATATATGTGGTTACTCTAGTAATTAGCTGATTATGGTGTTGAAAAAGAAGTTAGCTGATATAAAAACTGAAATCACTAGTTCAGTCATATAGTGCGGATGTATAGAATCCAGTGGGGGCAGTGAACATAAAATTTTACTTTTACGTATATAGAAATTTTGCAAAATTTTCAACTGTGCTCATTTTTAATAATATTAATTAAAAAAAATCTAACTTTCCACTAAATAACAGAGATACAATTATGTCCCTGCTTATTTTTTATTTTTTAAACTCTCATACTAAATTCAAATAAAAACATCAGTAGATGAAAGAATTGCCTTTAATCCATTGATCAGCTCAACCATTCAAAACGACTGTTCTTAATTTTTACAGCCACCAAATATATACATGTGATCAATATTTGTCATAAAAATTAAAACATGTGATCAACACATATGATAACTGGAAATCAACGAGTTAATATTATCTTGTGAGAAAGTAAAAGTTGTAAGGCAAGTGAATAGTAATAGTGCTAAGAGCATATCGAATCTTTGTCACAAATTAGTCTTTACAGCCGTGTCAGAATCAGAACCAGCATGTTGTTAGTTAGACTTGTGTCTTTCGTGTCCGTTTGATACCTAGATTCGTTCCCTGATTCGAATCATGGTTCGTGGTTCGTTACAGTATTTTTTCTCAAAAAAATACACGTAAATCGAAAATGGTTCTAATCACATGGTTTGAATCCATGAACCAATTGTGGGAGATTTCTTTGACAAGATATGAAAAAAAATTTATTATAAAAAATAATTTTATTTAACTGTTAAATGTCGTATTTATTTATCATTTTTATTTCATTTAACGATAAAAAAGATGTATCGGAACTTGATCTCACGGCTAAAAACTGTGTCTATCAATAAGCCTATAGAATATTTTTTCATACCTAACACAAAATTCTCCTTTACTTTAAGAAATAACCAACAATTCCGTTTCTTGTATCATTTTATAGTTTGTTCTTTTTAATTTTAGAAGTGCCCTTCTATAGTTAATAATTAAGAATATAACTGATTAGCAAAAAAAAAAAAAAAAAATTAAGAACTTTGACCCTGATAAATTCAGGACCTGTTCTATGACGAGACATATCGTTTACAAGCTACCTTAGTTTGGGCGTTTTATTTACTTAAAAAAAATGATTTCCACTTTATTATTGCAAGAATGCCTCTCTTGTTTTGCTTTTGTTTTGTGAGGTTTAAATAGAAAAGTTGGGTGAACCCGTGTAAAATTAATGCAGATCATTTAATATTGCACGTCTATAAAAGTTATAGTGTAGTTTTTAGTGTTTTTACTATAGTGTTTGTTTTCTCTCATAAAAAATTTATTTTGTTTAAATTTATTTTTAAATTTATAAATCTAACGACAACTGTATATATTAAATCATCACGATGGGTGAATTTTAAATAGTGACACCACACTTATAATAAGTGGTTATTTGTATAAACTAATTGGACAAGTTATAAGGTGAATATTAACAGACCATAGACGTATACTAGTTACAATTTGACATGTACGTAGTTGATTTTGTTAATTGCGACCGTGATCGTGAAGTATATGTAAAATACTCTATTCTTGTAATTAATACTAATATACCATATTCTTTTATCTATGCATATAATTACAAAGAAATAAACAAGTTGTTCATAAATATTACAATTTTAGTTTGTTGGAGTTTTGTCTTTTAGGGGATGAGTAGGAAATTTATTTGCAAATTTCCGTTCACTTCGCTGATTCGAGTTTAGAATTCGAGTTTTTCTACAGTAAAAAGCTCTCACAAACAATCACATCTAACTTTTTTACTACAGTAAAAAACTCTTACATAAAGTCACATTTCAACTCGAATTCTAAACTCGAATCAATGAAGTGAACGGGCCAGTTAACACGTAGAATAACGAGTCCTCTTGTAAAAAAATATAGGTATAGAAGGATTCAAATTCAATATTCTGGGTTGACTTTCAATTGGTCAGATACGCACATTCAGTCTCAGATACCGCGGAATCAAAGTGGAAGAAATATTCCTTCTTCTTGATGACTTGATCATCATCTTCTTTTTTTTTTTCAAGATGACATTTATGGTCAGTACTTTACATAAATTTTCCACGTGAAAAAACATATATATATTTTTCGTTTAGACTCAATTATTCTTGGTGTGTTACTAAATTTTATGCTCATTTTCTCTTTATCATCGATCTTTAAAAATTATCACCTAACCTAGTATTTTAAATTTTAATTATAAACATACAGTATGAATAGAATTATAAAAGAATTTCAATAAAACTAGGGAATTATTAACCGTTAGATTGCATTTCAATGGTTCAGATTAAAAAGATGCGCTAAATAATTGTACAATAAACTACACCTAACGAGAGAGAAAAAAAAAAAAAAACCTTCAAACTAAAATCTGACTGAACCCAAACCCGCAAACAGCCTCTACCACCTATGGCAAACCGGCCAACTCTCTCTACCACCTCTGGCAACTCCCCTTGACGTTGACAGTAACCCACCACCTCCGGCGGCACAACTATTCCACACCGTCACTGGAACACTAAAAAAATTGCAAAAATAAAAATAACAATTCAAAAAAGTTACAGATTCAAACATATCACAAAAATTACAAATCCCATTGCAGATCTGAGCATCTTGAGATATATTACAAAAATAAAATAAAAAATTCACATAATTCATGAGACAAAATTTATAAAAAAAAAAAAACCCAAATTTCACATAATTCACTATTGCAAATCTAATTTAAAGATTAAAATAACTAGTAAGGTTGGGATCAGGCACGGAGCCATTATTAGAACTTGCCCCCACTCATACAATCAATATACTTTTATAAATTTTGACTTTTCTTGATTCTTTTAAAATATTACTTTGAGGCTTCATCTGACTCTCATCAGACTATATTTGTATGTTTAATGTTAACATTTCATAGTTTGCTCTGTCGGAAAAAATTACATATATAGTTTACATAATTGTTTAAAATAATTATATATATATATATATATATGTAGTTATCTTTCAGTGAATTGTATAAAAGTTATTGGAAGAAAAAAAAAAGCATTATAGTTTTATTAAAGTCTTGTGAGTTGTATAAAATTTATCAGGAGAAGAAATGTTAATATTAAACATTCAAATATGGGATTGAAAGTACAACATTGTAAAGTTCGGGACTAGTAGTGTGGTGAAAATTTAAGGGATAAAGTGAGATACCAAGTACTCCTCATAGGCCAAATTTGAAATTAATTATTGATTAACTTTACCAAATTACGCTCATTAAAAAGCGTCATGTGCACTTTTCATGCTCAATTCCGTTCATTTTTTAATAGTATTATAACAAAGGGATTCAAAGTGCGACATTTGTAAGGTTCAGGGGTCATTCCCGTTTGGTTGGAAGATTCGTTCTCTGATTCAAATCATATTTCATAGTTTGCTACAGTATTTTCTCTCACAAAAAATACACGTAAATCAAAAATGGTTCTAATCCACGAACCAAACGGACTCTAATATGAAATTCAAAGAATTAGGGGACAAAGTGAAATAATGAATATTTCTTGAGGTCCAAAATTAAAAACCCTTAAAATTATGAAGAGGTAGCTCATGACACATAGAACTGGCACTCATTCATATTTGTACTATAATGAGTGTCGATTCTACGTGTTATTTTTTTTGTCTTTTTTTTTTTAGAAAGCACGTTTTGTGGCTTTTGTTGAAAATTCTTCTAGAGATTTAAAACTCTTTCGACAAATCATCTAAATACTTTAAGAAATAGTTGTTAGACCACCTACAAACCCAAAAACTGCTTCAAGAAAACTCTGCTAAACAGACTCATAGGCTATTTTGTGATCAGCATATATAGTTATATAATTCAACCATGTCAATCGTTATGAAACTTCATAATTACATTAGCAAAGCATCGATCTTACACTCGCCCCTCTCGATAAATCATTGTTCCTC